CTCCAATCATCCTACTTTGCCTTGCTAAAAGTCATAATATAGCAAGTCAACCTATTTTTTTCTTCTCCAATGGGTGTGTTTAATTTTAACAAGCTTCCCAAAAAATGACTTTAGCTTGTTACAAATAACAAGCTCTTCAAATTATAGAAAGCTAAGAGTTATAGAATGGATTGGCAAGCCATGGTTGGGGAATGCAACAAAATATCACTTGCTATGTCATTATTCACTTGTTAAAATATAAAAATAGCAAGCCAATATGATATACAAGGTTGGAGATGCTCTTACTACTTCGCTTGACATGCTAGGACATGCTAGTTATGATCTCTTGAGAAAACTTTACTCAAAAGAACTTGTTGTTGGGCTACCAAAAATGAGCATACCTTCTTCTAGTTTTTGTGATGCATGCTTCCTTGGGAAACAACATAAAGTATCATTTGAACCCATAAAAATGGTTTTAACGTCAAGGCCACTTGAACTATTACATATGGATTTATTTGGGCCCATAGACGTTCAAAGCCTAGGTGGAGCTACTTTTACATTTGTCATTGTAGATGATTTTTCTCATTACACTTGTATTATATTACTTGCCAATAAATATGATGTGTTTAATGCATTTGTTAAGTTGTGCAAGAGAATTCAAAATGAGAAAGGTTATGAAATAATTTCTATTAAAAGTGATAGATGAGGAGAATACCAAAATACCGACTTTGAGACATATTGTGATGAACACGGCATCTCTCACAACTTTTCGGCTCCTAGAACACCTCAACAAAATGGAATCGTTGAGAGGAAGAATAGGACGTTGCAAGAAATGTCAAGGACCATGTTAAATGAACACAACTTACCTCAATATTTTTGGGGAGAAACGGTCAACACGGCATGCTACGTTATTAACCAGGTAATACTTAGACATATTATTAAAAAGACTCCTTATGAACTTTGGAAGGGTAGAAAACCAAACATTGCCGATTTCAAAGTTTTTGGGTGTAAATTCTATATTTTGAATACCAAGGATCATTTAGGTAAATTTGAGCCTAAATCAAATGAACGAATTTTTCTTGGTTATTCAAAAAATAGTAGAGCCTATAGAGTATATAATAAATCAAATCATAAAGTAAAAGAATCTATTCATGTGAAATTTGATGAAACCGATCCCTTTGGGTCAAGTAAGGTAATTGCAGGTTCAAATGAAGAAGAAGAGGAAGAAGAAATCCTGGAAATTCTTGCACAAGAAGAAAAAAGTGAAGAGAAGGAACTACCGAAGGCATACAAACACTTGAAGAATCATCCAAGAGACAATATCATTAGAGAGATTGAAAAGCGAGTTAGAACTAGGAACAATTACAATCTTTGTGCACACTATGCGTTCATTAGTCAATTTGAACATAAGAACGTAGAAGATGCGCTAAAAGATAGTGATTGGATCATATCCATACAACTAGAGCTTGAGCAATTTGAACGCAAAAAGGTTTGGGAACTAGTCGAAACACCGAAAAACCGACCCGTTGTGGGCACTAAATGGGTCTTTAGAAACAAGCTTGATGAAAATGGTGTTATAATCACCAATAAAAGTTGACTCGTCGCTAAAGGCTATAGCCAAGTTGAAGGACTTGACTATGATGAAACTTTTACTCTGGTTGCTAGGCTTGAATCTATTCATATGTTATTAGCTTTTGCAAGTGCTCTTAATTTCAAACTCTTTCAAATGGATGTAAAAAGTGCTTTTCTAAATGGGTGGTTGAAATAAGAAATTTACGTTGAACAACCTCCCGGCTTTGAAAATCTTGATTTTCCAAATCATGTTTTTAAACTTCATAAGGATCTTTATGGACTCAAACAAGCTCCTAGAGCTTGGTATGAGTGCCTTACTGGACAACTTATCTCACATGGATATGCAAAAGGAAAGATTGATTCCACAGTTTTTGTCAAAACAAAAGGAAAAGATCTTATCATTGTGCAAATTTATGTTGATGATATTATTTTTGGGTCAACTAATGAAGCCTTATGTAATGAATTTTCAGGAATTATGACAAGTGAATTTGAAATGAGCATGATGGGTTTGAATAGAGTTGTTGAGGATGTTTATCAATTTTCGCAGGATTAAAAGGATAAACGAAAGTGCAACGAAAATAAAAGAGAGAAGGCAAAGAACACACCGATGTATACTGGTTCACCACCTCGTGGCTAGTCCAGTTCCCCGAGAGACTCTCTCGAAGCTACCACTACTTCCGTTAAGCTTACGGGTGCTTAACAAACCGTTTACAACTCGAGAACTTGAATCCCAGAAGCCTCGACACAACCCCTCGTAGATATGCCCTCTACAAGACTTCACAACCAAGACTTAAGTCACATAAGTCTTGTACAACAAGAAGAACAATCTTCTTCAACCTCTCAACATAAACTCTCACAAGAGTAGAAATGAGAAATGATTAAAGCTCTAATGGGTGAAAAAACACTCTCTTGAAAATACTTAGTTTTCTCTCAAAATATATCAATTTGAGGAAGAAATGAATGAGGATTATAACCTAAGGATTGGGAGTTTTGGAGTGCTTGTTCATTCTCAAAAATGACCAAGGAATGAAGTTTATAAAGGGGTTGAAGGAATATGTCCGTTGGAGCTTAGGAAAAAGAGTTTGCTGAAAAAAGCAGCATAAAAATCGATTAATGCACCATGGTAATCGATTAATGCAGTCTGTGCAAAAATCCTTCAGCAGACAAATTGATAATTGATTTTTGCCAAAGTGTAAGAATCGATTTTTTGAAGCAATTATGCCCAAACAAGGACACAACCATGTGTGCGGGGTGAAGTGCTAATTTGGAAATTAGCACTTGTTTAGGACATAAAAATCAAATCAATAGGCTCCCCAATCAATAGATATAATTCAAATTCAAATTTGAATTATGAGAGTGTATTTTTGGTGTAGAAAATGAGTCCCAAAAATATTTTGTGTGTCAAACGATGAACATAAAAATATTTGAATAAAATATTTTTGCTTTCCAAAAATATTTTCTAATATCAAAATAAATATTTTGATAAATGTTTGACACACCTTTTTTAACTGACTCAATGAATGTATTTTGAATAGTTAAAAAGGATTTTTCAAATGACTCCAAAAATATATTATTTTTATATTAACTCTCATAAAAATAATTTTGGAGAGAAGATATTTTTGTCATCCTTACAATAATTCCTAAGACTCAAATAAATAAAAAGTTTCGGAAATCTTCTACACCTCCGAGTCCTGCGTTAGGCACTCTGATCGCGTCTTGGACTCCAATAAAATCCTGTGCACATTCTTGAATACTTCAAGGAATGGCACTTCAAGTCTTCGTGTTTTTCATTGTAGAACTTTGATCTTGACTTGAATAAATTGTGTTTGTCAATTATCAAAACCTGTGAGTCAACACTTAACAACACAGAAAGGGTTGAACTCATGCATTCCAACATCGCATTGATCGGAAAAGCATAAGTGGCACATGTCAATCCATAGGTCATGCACTAGTGTCTTGGTCATCTAAGAAACAACACTCCGTTGCCCTATCCACCGTCGAAGCGGAATATGTGGCTATGGGTAGTTGTGTTGCTCAAATTTTATGGATGATGCAAACACTTAGTGACTTTAACTTAAAATTTTCAAAAGTGCCTATCTTTTGTGATAATTCAAGTGCAATAAATATTTCCAAAAATCCCGTGTTGCATTATAGGACTAAACATATAGAAATAAGACATCATTTCATACGTGGTCATGTTGCAAAAGAAGATATTCAAATTGAATATGTAAATACACTTGAACAACGTGCTGATATTTTTACAAAACCCTTGGATGAAAAACAATTTTTACATATTTTTCGGGAAATGGGAATGCTTGAATTAAAGTGATCTTAAGGTTCTTATTATTACATTACAATATAAAAGTAAATTGATCAAGTCCAAATGCTCAAAACACGCGTCTAGAGGTTGAAACAAAAACTTAAGGCTGAGGCACGGTACCCTTGGCAGTACCCCGTACCGCCTTAACGGTAGGGCATGCCGTTTACACGGTAACCCTGTGCCATTTGGACGCAGATACTGCTAGAGGAGACTGAGTTTTAGACCCTTCACGGTAGCTTGTAATGGTAGCCTATGCCGTTTGTACGATACCAAGGTACCGTTAGCACGGTACCGAGGTACCGACCGTCACTTCGGGTCAATTTCTCTAAAACCCTAAAACCAGACCATTTTTTCCACTCGGTCTTTGCAATTCATCTCGGCGACTCATCCCGTCTCTCTCTCCCGTACGTTGGTTTCTCCAATTTCAATCAACCAAGGTAATTTCTCATCCAAATTCCTCAATTTCTTCAAGCATTAGGCTCAATTTCTTTATATACTCTCTTCAATTCGTGTATTTGGTATTAATTTTCCAATTTTCGTCCAAAATTAACATTTTCTCAAATTCTCCAAATATAAGTGAAATTGTTTCCGATGTTCAACTTGATGTTCAAGTCGGGTTTAAGTCTTACTCCGACCCACATATTATCGAGGGGAGAACCTTAAAACAAGATGACATCCCCGTTGCCGTTCTTGAACTCATTCATGAACAAGGGTGGAGTTTTTTTCTTCAACTCCAAGCCCCCGTTTACCGAGAACTTGTTCATCAATTTTATTCCTCATTGAGATACCATAGGCAAGACCCTTCCATTACCGCCGTTGTTGCCGGCAAAACCTTCGAATTCAACACCCAAAACCTTTCCGAATGGTTCCACCTAGAGCTTCAAGGCATCTCCTCTTATTGTAAAAAGGGGTGGATTTCCGACTCACAAGACTTCAACGCGGATTTTTGCCTGCGTGTTCTCAACAATATTTCTCTTGACCATGTCTTTGAGGACCCGGACTATTTCCTTCGTCAGCCCAATGTCCCAGACTTGACCGCAAATTGGTTCATTCTTCTCAAAATCCTCAAGGAAAATGTCATCCTCGTCCTTAACAAAGATAAATAAGTCAGGATTTATGAATGCACGCTCCTATACCTCCTCCTCACTCACAAGAAAATCAATCTCCCTTCCATCATCATTCCACACATGTACGAGTGCTCCGGTTGCCAAAACAACCTGTGTGGCATGCTTCTCACCCACATCTTTGCCAAACGAGGCATTCTTGAGGTGCGCTCTTCCCGCGCCCGCTTTCTTGACGCGGAGTGCCTTGGGTATTGTGGCCTTGTGAAGATCGGTGAGGACTACTATATGAAGAAGGAATTTCAAAAGCTTGATGCGGAAACACAAGTGGAGTATGGCCCTCAGCGTTTCATGTCATCCTTGCCTTCAACCTCTCAAGCACCCGAAGCCGATGTCAAAACAAATGCCAACACGGAGGTTCCCGTTCGTGCTCCTAGGATCAAGCGCTCAAAGTCCGCCTCTCATGCTTCCTTGGCCTCTCTCTTGCATCGTCATTCCCACATGGCCTCCACTTCCAAAAATCCCTTCAAGAAGTTCAAGAAATTCATTCTCAAGACTGTGGTGGCTCCGATGAGGAAACTTCAAAAGAGTCTCGATGACCTTTCGGATCGCATGAAGAAAATGTAGGACTTTGAGGTTCGCCGAAAGCAGCAAGAGGATCGTGCTTCTAGACGTCGCTAAGTGTTGAGCATTTGACAAAATGATCAAACATTATCTCTCTTGTGTTTTAAAAACAATTATGTATTTTTATTAAAGTTTCAAAACCCTTTGTCTTGTCTTATGTTTCAAACTCATATTTATGCACTTGTATGACTCAGACCCCTTTGTTATGATTGTGATTATGGTTTCATGATGCTTATGGTATCATTGCTTATGTTGCCTTGTTGAATGCCTATGTGTTGAAACTTACACTTTTCGTACCCCGCCATTTTGAATGTTGCCAAAAGGGAGAGAAATATTAGGCTTTCATATGCTTACATGTAGGGGGAGTTTATCAAAATCTTAAGTGCATCAACTTAGGGGGATTTTTTATTCAAATATGCTTTTCACGATATGTTTGTACATTTGCTTATTATATTTGAAAGCCTTATTTGTCAACATCAAAAAGAGGGAGATTGTTGGCCTTGAATGCCATACCCCGTAACCATTTTGATGTGCCAAATAAGTCTTCCAATGCTACTAACATCATTTGCAGGAAGAACCAAACGCCAAATCTCTATTAGCTTGATTAGCATCACCTAGATGTACTCCTACGAGTTTAGAAATATTTGTGTAAAGGTAATGATATATTTAATGATTTACTTATGCCCTTTCACTCAAAATATTTGATCTAAAAATGTCAAGTTTTGGAAAATTTCACAAGTCCAACGATACCTGGCTACCATGTTCACGGTATCAGGGTACCGCTGGTAACCAAGTGAACGTACCGCTGTATGTTTCACTTGGGTGGTACACGGTACCCCCCTACCGTTGTAACGGTACCAGGGTACCATCGGTAGGCATGGAACGGTTGGCCAAGCCGTTTTACCTCAGGTACCGCTAGAGCCGAACCAAGTTTTAGGCCTACACAGTACCCCCTAGCGGTAGGCTATACGTGGTCATAGTACCTACGTACCGGACGGTACTGACCCTACCGTGAAGGGTACCGTAACCGTTATCAGCAATGTAGCTAATTGTCAATTTAAATTCAAATCACCCCAAATCACTCCCTAACGGCATTTAACTTTAAAAACTCATATTTTAACCTTCCAAACTCCTATATAAACCCCCTCTAAGTCTCATTTTTAATACAAGAACATCCCAACTATTTCTAAAGCCTATTTCTCTAATCTTGAGTGATTCTTAAAGCGTTCTTCTTATTTTTCTTACTCTTTGGAGTATAAAGCTTTCATTATTTTTATACTCACACACAAGGGCATTTGTGATTTATTATTTTATATCTTGCCTATAGGCTTTTGTTGTTGTTGATTTAATCTTTTGTTCTTCTTCTACCCAATTCATAATTGTTATCATTTTGGTAGAGAAGCAACATCAATCCTTTATTGATTTGTAAAAGGTGTGGATAGCCTTTAAATCGTCATCCGAAGGTTGAAGATAGCCTTAAAATCTTCAGTTGTAAAATGTTGAGATAGGCGTAGTAAAATCCCATTTGCTTATTGGCAAGGGTTGTTTGCCAAACCTCATTTGAGTCTTCTTAGTGAAGCCAAACAAGTTAGTGGAGGACTGGAGGTTAAATCCTTGAGGAGGAGCCTCGAGGTACTAAAGTAGAGAGTTCCCGAACCAGTATAAAATCGCTTGTGTCGTACTTTTATTTTATACTTTTCTTGCTCCTTTTCTGCTATTACTTTGCGCATAAGTTTTATTTTTTACGAGAAACTTTCAAACACCTTAATTCATCCCCCTCTTAGGGTGTAAACCCTATATATATATATATATATATATATATATATATATATATATATATATTACGGAGCGTAAGGAGGATAGTTGCTTGTGTAAGGAGGCGGAGGACAGTTTGAATCATCCTTTAGTAGAGTGTCCCTCGACGTGGGATATTTGGAGACGCTATGCTTTGCTTTTGGATGGGCCATTTTGGAGGGAGGGAATTACGCTTAGACAACACCTCCTAGAGTGGTGGTTCTCGGCTAAAGCTTTGAACGTTAAAGGGGTTTTTCGCAATGTAGTCCCAGGTTTTATCACATGGGCTATTTGGAAATGGTATGCAGCTTGTGTGTTTGGGGGGAGCCAATTCAAATGACGGATATCTACAAGGAAATCACTCAGCAAATGCAGTTCTGGCTATGGCACACCAGGGAAAACTTCGGTCGTCGGGAGAAGAGGATCTTCAGACAAGGGCGGAAGAGGCTAGATTTGCCCCCCCTCCCAGATCTGTCGCAGCACCCGATTGAAGTATTGAACTCTAGGGCAGTCCAGCCGATCGAACTCATCGAAGAAGACGAAGCAATTGCCGAAGAAAAAAAGAAGAAAAAAACGACTTCGTTTTGTAAAACTAAAATGGGTTTAAAAAAATTCTTGTGACTCAGCCCAACAGTCTACGGCCCACTAGCCCAAATGCCCTAAAAAAATAGGAGGATAGATGTAATCGAACAAAAATTCTACAGAGGCTTATTGCCTTATTCGTGAGACTCTCACAATGCGATTGACGAAACCAGAACTCCAAAGCTGAAGGATCGAAACGACGAATTAATCGAAACCAGACTTAGACTATGTGCTTCTTCATCTAATCTTCAGATCTTCTCTCATTGTCTACGTATTATATGTAAATTTTAATTATCCAATTTCGAGATTTTTTCTTAATGTTGGAAAGTTTTGAATATTGTTAAAATATGTTTTGAATTTTGAATATTTAATTTGTTCCGTGGTTCCAGTGTGTTGTTGATATTTAAATATTTGATAAATGTTAATGTAATTTCAAGTTCTAGAGATTAAGATATATGAAATTGTTGTTTTAAGGTTATTGATATTTTATTTTGTTACTTTATTATTGAATCAGAAAATTTTGAGACGTAAGATGGATAAATTTGTTACAAGACAAAAGAAGAATTTAGAATTTGTAAGTGATAGAGACATTGAAAAAGAAGTTTCTTCTATAGAGAAAGAAAGTGTGGTTTCAAATGATGATATTATTGCTGATCCGGGATTACGAAAACCAATTAATAATTATCCATTGGAAATTGTCAAGACTGATTTATGCAACCGTTTGGAAGATGAGCTTTTAACAGATTGTTTTTTGTGCTACTTTGAGAAAGAAACTTTTAGGAGCATTGATGATGAAGTTATTACGCAACGCTTTCAAAAGTTGGCATCTCGAAAAAAAATTTCTACGGCCTCAAAGTACTCTTACTCCTTTACACAAATAGAAGGTATGTTTAGTTGCACTTTGCCAATTCAAGTAGTTACTATTCTAATTTTTGTTTATTTTTTAAATGAATTTTTGCCCCCGTGAACCACTGTCTTCAGATGCTTGGAATTTTGGGTTTTTGACATTGTTGAACTCCTAATCTGTATTGTTTCCTTTCTTTTGTTTCTGTACTTTGGTTGCTTGCTCTGTTTGCCTGGCTTGGTGCCCTTATTATTAATCAAAACTTTTATTTAAAAAAATATATTACAGAGTATATTTTACAATGATGATGTTTATAAAATTGTTTAAAAAGTCATAGTTTTTACACACAATATAATTAAAGTAATGTTTTTAATGCTAAAATATAATATTTATTAATGTAATACAATAAAATACTCCCTCCGTCCTTAAATAAACTTCCGTTTTTGACTTTTTGAGGATTTAAGGGAGGGATATTTTTGTGTTGACTTTCCAAAAATACCCTTGATGTGATGTGTAAAAGTAAGATGTAATATTTAGATTATTAGTAAAAAGGTATGATGTGATAGGTAGGGTATAAAAAAGTAAGGGGTAAAATGGGTTTTTAAGAGAAAAGAGAAGTTTATTTGGGGACAAAGAAAAAACGAAAGATGAAGTTTATTTAGGAACGGGGGGAGTATGACAAAAGATCTTTTTAAATAAATAAATGGACCAAAAAAATCCATCCATCTCATTAATGAAAGCACATGTGGCATGCCAGATGTCAACACTTCAAGAAATTAACCCAACTTTACATATATATAGGATATAGGATATAGGATAAGATAAGATTTATTTCTTCCGTTCCAAAATATTTGTCACACTTGTATTTCCGAGGTAAAAAATATCAAGCTTTTTCAATTCATTTTATTTACATATTGGTATAGAAATAAAAAATAAAATTTACATATCAAAAAACTACATGAAAAGTTCTTCAAAATAAGAGGTGTCAAGAATATTTTATTTTATCAAATAACCAATGAAAACGTAAAAATAAACAAAAGTTTTCGCGACTGCTGAAAAAGCAAATGTTGCAAATATTTAGGGACGGAAAGAGTATCATCTTTACAAACCGAATGGTTACCTTTCAAAAGAGGAAATTCTTTCTATTTAAGTGCTCGATGTATATATTTAAGTAATATCTATGATAATGAGTTACCCTAGTAAAGTAATGAATTTTTTTCCAAAGTAATCTTTACCTACTATAAGGGGTTGTTTGTTTCAACCTCTTAATGATTCAGATGTCTGAGTGGTTCAGCACTTAATGGTTCAGACTCTTTGTTTCAGCCTCTTAATGGTTCAGATGTCTGAATGGTTAAGAGATTTGCCTCTGAATGGTTAAGTATTATACAAAGTCTGAATGGTTAAGACCTCTTATCTGAATTGATCAGACATTTGCCTCTAAATAGTTAAGCAATATACTAACTCTTAATGGTTCAGACCTCTTACTGGTTCAGCACTTAATGGTTCAGACCTCTTACTGGTTCAGCACTTACCTATTCAGAAGTTGTCAAACAGCCCCTAAGTGATCGATTACAATACATTTGATTTAAAAAAACATAGACATTAAAAACTCGCATGGTGATGTTTTATGTGAATAGTGGAAAAAAAGGACTGATCATATCTATAAATAACACCTTAAAAATAATCTAAATTTAACATCAATTTATACTTGGTTCGGAATACCTTAAAATGTTTGCCATGTGATGATGTTTTATGTGAATGGTGGAAAAAATACAATTCTTACATATTTACAACTTTTTTATGATAGATATTATAAGTACAGGTGAAGAGGCAGCGTCGTCAGGTGGAACGTCGCACTCTCAAACACAAACGAGAAGAAATTTTCTTTCTGATGTGACAAATAGTATTTATAAATTTCAAACAAAACATTTAACAAATCAATATTTTTGTAATTGTGAAAGGGTTACTTATGAAGAAAAATGATGCAAAAGGCAATTTTAATTAACAACTTAAAAAATTTATTTCTACAATGCTTTGATCAGGGAATAATTTTATGATTATTGAAAGTAACATTACAATAATTGAAAGTTTGCATATCTTTTTTATGTAATTTTTATTGAAGTATTCATTTTCTCCTTCGAGTGTTCATTTTCACCATTTCCACCGTTTAATTCAATTGTCTTTGCAAACATATACTCCCTCCGTTTCTTAAAACTCTTTCTCTTTCATTTTTTTGTTTTTCTTAAAACACTTCCCTTTTATATTAAAAAACCACTTTTACCCCTACTTTTTCATACCCTACCTATCACATTATAATTTTTGACTAATAACTAAACAATCACATCTTACTTTTACCTATCACATCAGGGGCAAAATTAGAAAGTCAACTAAAATTACACTTTCCTTATTTTTCCCCAAAGTCAAAACAGGATCCGTTTTGAGAAACGGAGTAAGTACTACTTATGTCCCTTAGTATTTGTCAAGTTTTGACTTTTTTGGTCAACTGTTTTTTAATCTTTGACCTATAATTAAATTAGATATATATTGTATATTAATTATATAACATAATATTTTGGAAATATTTGATATAATAAAATTATTTAATAACATAAAATTATTTAATTATATAACATAATATTTTGGAAATATTTGATCTAATAAAATTATTTTTGTACCAATATCTAATAAAATTATTTTTGGTTTTATTTAAATTTTATTTAAGTATTCATTTTCTCCTTCGAGTATTCATTTTCACCATTTCCACCATTTAATTCAATTGTCTTTGCAAACATATACTACCTCCGTCACTGAGTATTTGTCCAGTTTTAATTTTTTTTGGTCAATTTTTTTCAATCTTTGACCTATAATTAAATTAAATATATGTTGTATATTAATTATATAAAATAATATTTTGAAAATATTTGATATAATAGATCTAATAAAATTGTTTTTGTTTTTATTTAATTTGAAGTCAAAGTTTACCAATTTTGACCGAAAAAAAATCAAAAGTGGGCAAATACTCAAGATCGGAGAGAGTACTAATTTCAAGCAGATATAAATTTTCTAAAAATATGTATCCAAGTTAATGAAATATCTGTTAAATCTAAGTTTTTAAACACGTCTAATAAATATAATGTATGCATTATGACCTTATTTTATTAAATTTATATAGCAGACCATTCACCGTTTATTTGTACCTAAAAGTTTTTAATATTTTTAAATATATTTGTTATTAAAAATTGTCTAAAATTTGAATGGTGAGTTTTCGTCAAAATTTATATTAACTTAATTTGGTAAATCCTTTAAAAAAAAATTCCATTCAATTTTATATTTCATACATAACCTTATTTCTTTAATAATAAAGTAACTATCTATACTAACAATTTACGTATGAATATAAGAAAGGATTTTAATACGGAGTACTCATCATAAAGTAACCGTATAAATTTCTAATACAAAAATTGTAGTTACCTAATATCCAGATTGAATTAGTTGTTTTAAAAAAATCCTAACCCTAATGTATAAAATTACTATGAAGCAATAAAATAAAATATAATTTTAAATTCGTACCTTTTTTATGTCCTTTTTTGTTGAGGTATTCTTTTTCTCCTTTCACTTGTCTCTCTAGCTGATTCGTCCATCAATCGTCAGGTTGATTTTCCATAGTTTTAGTTGATATGGAAAAGTAGGATGCTTCTACCGGCAATACTTTAGAACCCGGAAAGATGAAGTTGGAATAATGATTCCCCCCTTTTTTTATCACATAATTGATTCTGAATACATTGGTATTCAAAGGGTAAAATGCCAATGGGTGGTGTAACGTGGATGACACATTTCAACTCATTAATTATATCTCTCACTTTTATAATAGAATTTCAACCCAAATATATAGGAGTTTCCATAAACATGCATATAAAAGTGAGCAATTTAAGTAATAAAAAAAGAAAGTAAGATCCATGATTAATGTATTAAATGATCTATTACTATTTAAAGTTTTATTTGGGTTTATGTATTATGGTCTTTTTTAAAAAAAATTCAAAATGAGTAATTTACCTAAATATGACTAAAACATAATGACTTCCTCAATATAGGACCATATGTTTTTATTTCTTAATGTAGGACTATTATTCAACTAAATGTCCAGCATCACTTGGGCATTATTCTTCTCATTAGACATTATTAAGTCATATTAAGTGAAATAAAAAAGTTTAAGTCCTACATTGAGAATTCAGTGCAAATTTCACTTTTAAAATTTTTTAATATGTATGATTAATTTGAAGGATATTAATTGTATTAATGAGAGGAATTCAGTCTACTACTATTTAAGGGTACTATATTGATTTTGATCCAAATATATGAATTTCCATTCATAAATCTTTGTAATTGATTATTTTAAGTAAGTAATCAAGTGGTGTTGAAGTTCTATCGTTTAATATATATAAGAGTTTACATAAACATGCGTATAAAAGTAAGCAATTTAGGTAATCAGAAAATAAGAAAGTAAGATCCATGATTAATGCATTAAACGGTCTATTGCTGTTTAAAGTTTTATTTTGGTTTATTTATTCTGGTTTTTTTGAATATTTAAAAATTGTTTAATATGTATGATTAATTTGAAGGATATTAATTGTATTATTGAGAGGATTTTCAGTCTACTACTATTTAACGGTACTATATTGATTTTGATCCATATATATGAATTTACATTCACAAATCTTTGCAATTGATTAATTTAAGTAGGTAATCAAGTGGTCTTTAAGTTGTATTGTTTAATATATAGGAGTTTCCATAAACATGCGTAAAAAAGTGAGCAATTTAGGTAATCAAAAAATAAGAAAGTAAGATCCATGATTAATGCATTAAACGGTCTATTACTATTTAAAGTTTTATTCTGGTTTATTTATTCTGGTTTTTTTTGAATATTTAAAAATTGTTTAATTTCCATGATTTATTTAAAGGATATGAACTGTGTTAATGAGAGGATTTTCGGTGTAGTACTATTTAAGGGTACTATATATATTGATTTTGATCCATATATATGAATTTACAATTATAAATCATTGTAATTCATTAATTTAACTAAGTAATCTCACAACATATTTGTAAGTTAAATGATTAACTAGTATCACACTCGTGCGTTGCACGGCTCGTATTTATATTATTTAATTATATTCAGATCATTTTTGAAGAATAGAAATTAGTATATAATAGAATATAACGTTCAGTATTTTAAAGGATTGAATATAAAATTTTTATTCTTTCACAGTGGAATATGCAATAGTAATATTGAACAAAATTACATTTATTTTACAATCTTATAACAAATGTGAAAGTTATTTTTTATTTATTGAACATGTTTTGAGTTAGTTTAAATTTTTAAACGGATGAGATATTGCCCATTATTAAATCTTATTGTGTTTCTCTGTAGAAAACAATCATTATTCAATGCTATTTTAATTCTTACCAATTATATATAAGTGTTTTTTATATTTCATTTTAGTTGAATATTTAAAAATATGTACTAAAATATATTATGTTGAATATTTATTTCTTGCCATTTTTAGATGAGTGTTTTTATAATAAAATATATATTTCATCCTATGATTTATTTCCATTTACACTCAAATTTATACTAAAATATACTATGTTAAATTTTTTTTGTTGCCATTCTTAGATGGTTTTTTTATACTAAAATATTTAATTTTACCCGTTGATTTATTTACATTTATGTTAAAATTAACTATGTTGAATATTTATTTCTTAATATTTTCCAAAAATGAATGCTATTGTAGGGCTATTTACTAAACTACTTGTAGAAATATATACTAAAATATAATCTATTGAATATTTATTTCTTTCCATTTTAGATGATTCTTTTTATACTAAAATATTTATTTCATTAGTTGATTTATTTCCTTTCATAAATATGTATACTAAAATAGATCTAGATCACCTCAAGAAACTTTGACCATGATTAAGAAAAAATATTTTAATTTATTTATTCATTAAAGTCCATATATAACAAATTTTACTAAATAAATCTAGACCACCTCTAGAAACTTTAATTTGACCATGTGTTGAGTTAAGGAACCCGGGGGCCTAGGAGACTAGGCGGAAGAGTATCGAACTGAGTCGAGAGTGCACAAAATAGGTTACAAATAGGGTGGCTAGAACAACTCTGCCAGAGGTATAGCAGGGGTCCAATCGTGGGCCCCTTGATCTTGACTACTCAGGCATCTCCATTGTTTGGACCTGGTTTGCCGGCGTTCCGGGCCGAGGCCAAATGTGTGCTTTGTCTTCGGGAGACCCTAACGAGAGGCCGGCCGAGGGTGGTCCGAGGACGACCGACCTTTCGAGGCCGAGTGATCGGCCAAGGGTGGTCCGAGAACGACCGACACTGCCGGGGCCGAGTGTGAACTGCTCCACGGTGGCCCACCTAGGTCTTCAGTTGATTATTGTTTCAATCTAGCTAAGTGGGCCTTAGCATGGTTGGGCTGGGCCGCTTTTCTGTTGGGCCGGATACCCCCATTCCTGGGTATCCATCATGAGTCCCCTACTTCCTTGGCCGAGTGTGTCGAGGCCGAGAGAAGTAATCCGATAGTATTTTGGAATTTGAATTTTGAAAAATCTTGGCCGTGTGTAGGAGTCCCCCACTGCCCAAATTGAATGATGGTGGAAGTTGGGGAGTGTTCCAAATGGCAAGATTTACACAAGTCACCTTCGAAATTTCAAAATCATGATTGTGTTGCTTGGGAAACGCAATGCCTCTGTACTGTTCTTTTGTCCGCCGTTTGTGACGATCCGTCATCGTACGCGTAAGGAAACGCCACGTCCCTTCATGATCGTTGCCTTTTCTTGAGTCGGGTCGGATCTTTTTGTCATATAAAAACGAAATTTATCCCCAATCTTCTCCACCTTTGTTATTTCTGCGCCGCACTTTCAACCTCGATTTCAACCACCGTCCCTACTCACCCAACGTCACCGTCGCAACTTTGCCCAGAAGGTTAGTTCATCCTTCCTCGTCCTCATGGCGTTTTCTGAGTCTACTCCTGTTATCCCCGTTGTCGACAAAATCCCTCCCTCCGCCCCGATGGCCTGATGGGAGGAATTGACCGTTCTAGGGTTCTGAGTGCAGTGCCTCTCCGCTCGTTGGTTACTGTGGCGTCATCGTCCCGGGCGCCACCCCCAAAGGGGAAAAAATCGAAAGCCGTCAAACGAAAAACCCGGAAATCTTTACCCGTTACCACGCTGGAAACGGGTCCAATCACGAATACGGGTCGGATCCCTTCTTTCAGGGGTTCACGGCGCTTGCTCGTTGCGTCTTTGTCTCGACAGCTGGTTTGCTTCTTGTTGGCCCTACGCTCCGGGGCCTTGCCGTTATCCCGTTGCTGGGAACGGCTCAACTCCTTGTTATCAGGCTCTCCCGCCGAAGCGTTCAAGCGGGGGTCTGTCATCAGACCCTTCAGGTGTTGGGCGAAAAGCTTTGCGCTTTCCACCACGTTCTGTTGGACTTCGCGACGTCCTTCAGGTTGGAACGTCGGCTGCGGCATCGTGATTGGCATGTGGAAACCGGTCATGGGCTGGTTGAACATCATCGCCCTCATCATGGCCCAGAAACCGCTAGGGTCTAGGCCAGGAGCCCTCGCACCAGAGGTCTCCCCAAATTGAAAAAGTGGTGAGTTGAAGTCACCGGGCAACACCACGCCTCCTCCGCGCACAAGTCCGCTGGGAGGTTGGGTCAGCACGCCGACGCCCTGGGTGGGCACCTGTTGGGTGGGTTCTTGAGACACCCCAACGTTTGTCGTCCGCCGCCTAGGAATGCGGTGGCGTAAATCAGTGGTGTTCTGGCTAGTAACGTCGTTGAGCTGACGTCTAGGTCATCATGACCTGCGCCGATCAGCGCCATGACAGTTATCCTGAGGCCACCACCAGTATTGGCGGCAGATGACCTAGTCACTCTTCTTGACGCAACCATTTTTTGGAACACGCTTGATGAGTTCGACACTCTCAACGAGAGCACCAATTTTGGGTTAAGGAACCCGGGGGCCTAGGATACCTGGCGGAAGAGTATCGAACTGAGTCGAGAGTACACAAATTTGGGGTCTAGTAAATTGAGAGTATTATTGTGCTTGTTAGGACATTTTTCCTCCTTCCGTTGGGAGGGGTTTATATGCGATTTACAACATAGGTTCCGACCGTTGGTCCGGAGTCCAACGGTCTGGGCCCACTAAGATTGGGTTGTTCACTGGCGGCGTCCAACCACATCATTATCCCTAGGATTGCAATACAAAATAGGTTACAAATAGGGTGGCTAGAACAACTCTGCCAGAGGTATAGCAGGGGTCCAATTGTGGGCCCCTTGATCTTGACTACTCAGGCATCTCCCTTGTCTGGACCTGGTCTGCCGGCGTTCCGGGCCGAGGTCGAGTGTGTGCTTTGTCTTCGGGAGACCCTGACGAGAGGCCGGCCGAGGGTGGTCTGAGGACTACCGACCCTGCCGAGGCCGAGTGATCGGCCGAGAAAAACCCTGCCGGAGCAGAGTGTGAACTGCTCCACGGTGGCCCACCTAGGTCTTCAGTTGATTCTTGTTTCAGTCCAGCTAAGTGGGCCTTAGCATGGTTGGGTTGGGCCGCTTTTCTATTGGGCCGGATACCCCTATTCTCGGGTATCCATCACCGTGATTAATAATAATATTTATATTTATTTATTTACTAAAGTCTATATACAACATATTTTCTTAAAATAAATATTGACCACCCCTAGAAATTTTGATTATGTTAAATGAAAATATTTGTATTTATTTATTTACTCACTCCGTTCCACAAAACCCTTCCGGTTTTGACTTTGGGGAAAAATAAGGAAAGTGTAATTTTGGTTGACTTTCCAATTTTGCCCCTGATGTGATGGGAAAGAGTAAGATGTGATATTTTGGTTATTAGTGATAAAGTATGATGTGATAGGTAGGGTATGAAAAAGTAGGGGTAAAAGTGGTTTTTTAATAGAAAGTGGTAGTGTTTTGTGGAAAGCAAAAAAAACGAAAGAGAAAGTGTTTTGTGGAATGGAGGGAGTATTTATTTATTAAAGTCTATATCCAACAAATTTTCCTAATATAAAAATCTAGACCACCTGTTGCAATTAAATAATGATGGCGCTAATCTCCATATATAATAAGCTCTTTATATAATAAAAAATTCATATATAACAAATTTTCCTAAGATAAACCTAGACTTCTCCATATATAATAAAAAGCATATATATCTAATGAAAAATAAAAATAAAAATAATATTATATATTTCCCTCCTAGAACCTTTGACCATGATTAATAAAAATATTAAAATTTATTAATTAATTTATTAAGATTCGTATATAACAAATTTTTCTAAAATAAATCTAACCATCTCAAGAAACTTTGACCGTGACTAATAAAATATTTATATTTATTTATTAAAACCCATATATAATAAACCTTCCTAAAATAAATCTAGACCTCGCCTATAAATTTCGACCATGAGTAATAATAATATTTATATTTATTTATTAATTAAATTATAAAGTCCACATATAACAAATTTTCTTAAAATAAATTTAGAGTTCTCCATATATAATAAAAAGTTCTAACATGTCTTTATTAAAGTCCATATATAAAAAAAATTCCTAAAATAAATCTAGACCACCCCTAGAAATTTTGAAAATGATTAATAAAAAATATTTATATTTATTTATTAAAGCCCATATATGAGAATTTTAATTATAGCTAGACTATTATTAGATACGATATTTTTTTTGAAAAAAAATTACTCCCTCCGTAACACAAAACCATTCCATTTTGACTTTGGGCAAAAATAAGGAAAGTGTAAATTTGGTTGACTTTCCAATTTTGCCCCTGATATGATGGGAGAAAGTAAGATGTGATAGTTTGGTTATTAGTGAAAAAGTATGATGTGATAGATAGAGTATGAAAAAGTAGAGGTAAAAGTAATTTTTTAATAGAAAGTGAAAGTGTTTTGTGCAAAGCAAAAAAATGAAAGAGGAAGGGTTTGTGGACGGAGGGAGTATATTTTAACAATAATTCCTATGCTTTGAAATGTATATATATAATAGTTTATACTAGTTAGACTATTAGATACGGTACTTTATATAATTATTTTTTGAAAGGTTATAAAAAGAAAATATGGTGATATACTAAATATGCGAATATACATATATATACTCCGTAATTTTTAACTACTAAATAAAATATTTTTAATAGTAGATACACAATAATGATGCAAATGTATTATATTTCATATAAATCTATATTTTTAAAATGGAATAAAAAGAGGAAACGGTTTAAAAATTCATACAAAGTATTTTCTTTTAAACATTTAAAAAAGTTTATATAACTTTTGAAAAATGTAATGGTTCGGAGTATGATTAAAAAAGGTTTATTCTTGATTAACGTCTTATCTGATTGAAGTATTTCGTCTATACTTCGAAATAACTTTAATTTAAAAGCATTTTTACGTAATTCATTATACTCTATCGAACTCTGCTCTGCAATGTTCCTTCTCCATATTATTTTCCTAAACGTCTAGCAAGTTACGAAGGATCCCAGGGATGGGGCTTATGTTTTTATTATTACTATCTATCCCCCATGGTCCAACAGGCAGTGACTCAGGCCTAGAGGTAGTTCTCTGTATGCTAGCCTGAACGCTCCAGCTATGCATTGAGACCTAAAAGAATGGGGTACGTGTACCCAACGGGAAGGGGAGGTGCATCGTGCATGCATGGGGCCACTGCACACACTCTACAATCCTCACGTGATTATTATTTTTTTTATTATTTTTTGTTTTTCAAAATTAAATTTCTTAAAGTTATAAAAAGCAAAAAATCAATCTAGATTTTGTAATTTCCCAATAAACGTTTGGCTCAAGGATTTTGGAAAGAAAAGAAAAGAAAATTGTTTTCTCTCATTTCCCTCCACTTGGTACATTTTGCCTCCTCATTTTCTTTTCCTTCCACTTTTCTTTTCTTTTCCCCTCTAACCAAACAAGAAAAATGGTTTTGCACTTCATTTTCTTTTCTTTTCCCTTTCAAATTCCTTGAACCAAACATAGTGTAAAAAGATTGAAGAAAGAAAAGGGTGGTCGGTTCCGTTGACACAAGCCTCGTTTGACATTACGAATTTACGATGTTACGCACTGCGGTGTTGGGACACATATGATATTCCGTTTGCAAAACAGACTGTTCACAAAGTAAACCTCTCTTTTTGTTTGGTAAAAAGATTAAAGTAGGAGTAAACTTTTAAAAGTATATCAAAATAAGATTACCATGTTTTTATTCCCGAAATGAGAATTAAAATACATTTACATTATCAAACATGGTCATATACATTACCAAAAAATATAGTAATGTGTACATGTACAGTGCCACATTACAACCCCAATACGGCAATACCACAATGCAAAGTCTTATTTCGGGAAAAAATATAGAACTCCTATTTTGGTACTTTTTTCTACTCCCTCCGTCTCATTAAACCCTTCCTCTTTCATTTTTTCCAATTCTCTAAATCACTTTCACTTTCTAATAAAAAACCACTTTTACCTCTACTTTTTCATAATCTACCTATCACATCATATTTTTTCACTAATAACCAAACTATCACATCTTATTTTTACCCATCACATCAGAGGCAAAAATGGGAAAGTTAACCAAAAATACACTTTCCTTGTTTTGGTTCAAAGTCAAAATGGTAATGGTTTAATGGAACAGGAAGTATGTTTTTATCTTGTTTAATGTGATTTCTATTTTTATTTAAATCTTAATCCATTTCTCTGTAATTTTTTTAGACAATGTTTCTAAACTCCTTGAAATCAAATTATAAACTTTAATACTGTGTACTAAAGTTAAATTATGTTTTTGGTTCCTATAAAATTAATGAGTTTTATTTTTGGTCCTTCCAAAATAATTATATTTTCAATTAAGTTGTCCCTATAAAATTATTACTTTTACAAATAGTCCTCCCTTAATTTAAATATTTATTTTATCCTTGTAAAATTTATAAATTTCATTTTTAGTCTCTTGAAAATTCTTTTTGTTCATTCAACTCTATTTTTAAATTATAAAATACTCCGTTCACCATTATCTTATTCTTATTCTTTAATTTAATATTTACTTAATTACAAGGTCAAAGTCACTGAAATATTTATTAAAATAAATACACTTTTACAAATTCATTTAAAAACTTTCTAAATTAATACTTTAATTTTTAGTAAAAAAATCTTTTGATAAATTAATACCAGATTTCTTTTTAGTGTACCTTTAGTATAATTTGTCAAATTCATGATCTTTAGCAAAATGCTTATCCTCACAATCTCGAATTATTTTTTACTTAGTTTGAGGGTAATTATTAATTTAGATAAATAAAATTATTAAAAAGTATTACTTTAGAAAAAAATTAAAGAACTTTTAAGTAGCGTAGTTATTCAATTAAGTTTCAAAAAGTATTTCATAAACTTTGACATTGTATTCAAGTCTATCTTGACTAAAAAGAATTAGTTAATTTTGTATAAAGTAGTAATTAATTTAAAAGAGAGGAAAAATGCAGCCAAAAAACCTTTAGAAAAACTAAAAAATATTTATAAATTTTACAAGGATCAAAATATGTAGATAAATTAGGGGAAGACTATTTGAAAAAATAATAATAATCTTATAGAGACAATTTAATTAAAAAATATTTTGAAGGGACCAAACGCAAAACTTGCTACTCCCTCCGTCTTTGAATATTTGTTCATTTTTGACTTTTTAAATTAAAATTGATTAAATTTGACCTCAACTTAAATAG